CACCACTAAACAGCCATATGTTACGATCAAGTACATTGATCCACCAGAAGTGCTGGTATGGTTTAAAAAATCACCTGCAAAAAAAAACCGTCTTTTTTTTTCAAATTTTTTTTTAGTCTGGTATGTGGGCAATAGTGGTGAGTAATGCTTTCTAATAAATGAAGCTATTTTTCTGCTATTAAAACGACATAATAGAATGGATTTTGAAATGTTATTTTTTTTACGAAGAAGTAATGGTCTACTAAACTGTTGGTTTGGAAATTAAAGTTTTATTTACAACTCCGAAATGGTATTAACTAACGGTGGGGAGTATTAGTTTTCTAAAGATTTAGAATATATTTATTAATGTTTATAAGAAAATAATGGATTCAAGGCTGTTTTTCTTTGTTCTTATTGTTCAAAAACTGCACCTTTTAGCCAAAGTAAAATCTACAAAAAAAAAAAAATAGCATTCTTAAACCACATAAACTGTTTAAAAAATAGCACATAGATTACTATTTCCTGTTACTGTAGTTTGGATAGTTTATTTGTTCATATTTTTAGAAAAGCATCTTGGATTTCAAACTCAACAATTCTTTTCGTTAGTGTTTAATATTTGAAAAAAAAAAAGTAAAATGAAATTTTGATTCAAAAATTGCTTTAACTTTGAAAGGAAATTTTTTTTTTCAAGGAGTCTGATGATCGGGCATTCAAAACAGCACATGGAGCTACTGAATTATTTGAGTAGGTTATAACTGATTGCTTTATACTAGTAATAATCGGATTCAGAAAAGCCTTTGACTTTCTTTTTTTTTTTTTTTTGAATTTAAACAGTGAAATACCCAAGTATACTGTATTTTTTATGTGTCTACAACTTAGTTTAACCGATTTTAACTGATTTTGCTATGTAGAAAGAGAAACTAAACCTCAAAGAGTCTAGAGAAGCTAGTAAAGATGGAACTTTTCAGTAGAAAATACAATGTTAAATCGTTGATATCGTCAAATAAAATTGGCAGATCTTCGGTGATTTATTCGCGTTTGAGTACCCCAATCACCGAGCATTCGGTACATTATGACGACAGGACTGATCCAGATTTCCCGCGGCTAGCTCCACCAGCTCGAAGTCTTTATGACATTCCACGGGGTTATAATGTCCAGAGGCCACAGGATTATGACTTCCGAAGAGGTTTAAGACAACTACCAACGCAGTATGCGGTAATACACTTACCGGTTACGTCATTATTTCTCACAACGCTTTATTGCTTCTACTATTTATGTTGCGCAAATTATAACCAACAGTTTCTACGCGAATATTGCAGTCAGATGTAACTCCGTAACCCTAATTATCTCTACGGTTTAGTATACTGTCAGTGATCCGCGTCTGCCACAGCAGTATACAGTTGGATTTGCAACTACAGCACCTGTCTATTACTATCAACTTTCTTCCACTTTTCCATCATGGTCACCAGCATATCATTCTTATTTTGGTTACTATGATCAGAATAGAAATACATATTACCTTACAAGTAATCAGCCCGTTTACAGGCAACAAGGACAATATATTAGTTACACTGGATATTAGACAAACTTAATGTAACAATTCTGTTGTAAATATCAAAAAATAGATATAATAATAATATAATATAATTTAAAGCCTAAAGGTACTCTAAAAGTTCTCTGCGCTGAAGTAGATCAAAATTTAGGATCGAAATGGTAGACATTTTCTGGCATTGTTCTGAAACTTGGTTCTGCTTACAAGCAGTTTTGCTTCTTTTATAAAACAGATACAATTTTTGAACCAGAATAAAAAATCATAACATTTTTGGAAGGTATTTATTACTCATTTTGACAATGATTTCAATTATTATTATTATTTTTTTTTTTTTGATGGTCAGAGACGATAGCATTTATTTATGAGGACAGACCACAGTATGATAAGAATGAGTATAATGTGTGAAATACTCTAGCAGCATTGCTGAACGACTAAAGCAGTCAAAAAATGTAGAGTTTGTGTGGACCGTTTTTTGAATTTCTTTTGTAATGGCGGGTTGCGGAATCAACGGAACCTGGATTGTCTTTCAAATCTTTCAAATCTTCTTTCCAGTTGACCATCGTTTCGATGTGCAGTTGTTTTTTTTTATGTTGCTTCTTCTGTAAAATCCTCTTTAAAATGCAAACTTTAACAATAAAAATTGTCAACTGAACAACATTATCGACATTACAGTGAAGGAATGGCAATGCACTTTTTGTAGATTACAATTATACTGCTATCTGCAAAGTATTCGAGGAACCGTTTTATCTTTGCTAAATAATAGGTTCAAAAATTTAATGATTTAATGCATTACTGTTTCTTTTTCCAAGTTTTTAAAAAAAAAGTAATCTGTCATCAACAGTTTGATAGAGATGACTTGCTTAAAATAATGTAGCCTGACTTTATATATTTAAGGAACAAGCTTGGATGGAAATGACCTTTCCTATCAAGGGCTAAAGTTTAAAATTTTCCTAGTTTTACACCATTTGTCAGCAAAACCGGATTTTTAAACATTTTGAAGTCTTGCACCGTAACATCATCGTTATAAACTACAATTTTCTCTTCGGTTGCTTTGCTCGGAACCATATATCAATGTGATGTTATGCATCTTTAATTTGTGCGAACCTCATACCTTATGTACATACCATATCAGCTGTGAAAAGAGTGTTTGATTTAAGATTCAGTTTTAATACAGTTTTAATTTAATATTGGCATAGTAGCAGTTAGTCGCGTAGAAAGGTATTGTTTTGTTGCAGTGTGATACAGAAAATAGGTGCCTCTTCAGAGACATATCTCTTTGGTATTCAAATGTCTTCTTCAAAATGCTGCGTTAATATGTGCAAGTTGGGCATAAGAAGACAAAATATTATATGACACTAATCTAGCTAATATGCTGAAAATTAAGACTTCCTTGCGGAGTGGAGCAATTTGGTTAAAATCTAGTAATACACACTCAAATTTGCAGCTGTTGTTGTTTGTATAGGAGGGCGAATATAATAAAAAATTTAACTGACCAAGAAACAGTAACCAGTTCATTTATGGCATAACGGATGTAAAGTTAAAGCTCATATGAAACGGAATATGACGGTAAAGTTGAGAAAATCAGTTCATAAGCACAAATAAAATTAAAATTTCTTCTCTGTCATAAGTTATTCATTCTGCAACTTTTACTTTTATAAATTTACTAAATTTTGTTCTTATAGCTAGATGACGCGATATTTATTGATTGAAGTTACTGTGGTACTTTATTGTCCTTGAAATTAGCAGAAATTCATCTACAAGTTACTGCAAATGTCCAGTCCAAATTCTGAAATTCTATTAAGAAGTAACTTTTTAACCATTCTTTGCGTTTACTGCATTTGGTGCTTCTGTTTGTTTGCAATAATTTTAATCTTTTTATTTAGATGAGGAGAAGAGAAAGTTCAGGTTCCAAGTATTGCTTATGAGTGCTTTTCCCAGCTGTAATCTAGGTATTTATTTTGCGAATAATTGCTCTGATACTTTTTCATAACTGTTATTTTTGCTCTTTCAAATTTGCTGCACAAACTTACCAGTTTTATTTTTCTTAATCATAATTTCTGGGAAGATTTGAGGCTGTGCATCGCAGGAAAAGGTTTATACTGAGTTCAACTTCTTTTGAAATCCCTTCATTTAGCACGTTATCGAAATGAAGGAACTTTAATATTTCAAAGTTTTTATGATATAGCAAAAATAACGACAAGTGCTTTACAGCATATAAACCCACGACAAAGCAGTTTGATATTAGGGTACACGCAGAGGAATTGCCTGTACTGAGAACACCACAAAACCTGAAATTACCTTTGCAGATATTAACAACGATTGTTAAAACTATGAATGATGATGTGAAATAAAAATTTTAGTACCGATGCTATGGCAACTGTTAGATATCACAGTTCAAAAAAAAATTAAAAAGTCTTTGATCGTTAACCTGTTGGTAAAATTGTCATTACAAGTCTGTTTAAGATAAGTCTGGAAGTTCCGCTAAGATGTATTCAGTTGGCAATTCTGGAAAGTGGTGTATTTATGTAAAAAGTTGCTTTAAACTGCTCTTTGAATTGGTTCTGAATAACGCACAAAAATTTTTAGGTGCCCGTGACAAGACAGATTTTGAATTAGTGACACAGCTGTAAGCAGTTGTCAAGTTTGAAAAATGTTTTCCTTGCTTACCCGAATATATTTTATACTGGCGGAACTTCCAAATAACAAGCTGCCGTTGTTTCGAACTATACTGCAAATGCATTTATTGATCCTTCTGAGGAGAATCATTCGTTTACCAACATGTATAAGCAGAAAATACTGCTTACCGTTAAACATCTTTTGACGAACTTAGTCTGGAATACCCCAAAAACATTTTTATAGACTAAGTATATCAGTAGCAGAGATTGTTATTATTTCAAAAGTCAACAGGCGTAAAAGGAATGGTGGAATTCAGAATGTCTCAATCAAATGAATTTAAACAGCAGTAGTTCTTTGAATGCGCGGTGCATTAATCACTGTACAGAGATTTGTAAGTTTGATTGGTAATGTTTTTGTAACAAATATTATGTGCCCTCTAATCTGTCGGTTAGAGGGTACGCATAATATTTGATACAAAAACATTACCAATCAAACTTACAAATCGCTTACTGTGACATGGGAAATATGATAAGAAAATGTCGGCATTTTGCGGAATTCAGTAAATTTTTAAGATGTAAAAAGTAGTGCCCATACATATGCTGCTAAACTTGCCTAAAAAACTTGAGTATTTGCATCAAAACATGGATGGAAGTTTACCTGCAATCTATTTGCATCAAAATTTGTTTGCCATAAATTCTTCAGAGACAACAATGCCAAAAATTTGTAGAACCAAATTTTATTAATGTTTCTGACAATGGCATTTCTACAAGACGTTAGGCAAACAATATCGTCAAATGAAAGTAATGGGGCATTGAACAGAAAGAAACCAACTTTTAACATTCCTCTTCAGTACCTTTGCCCGCTCATCCCAATTATCAGGTCAGAACAATCGGTTTAGACCACAGTAATAATTAAAATCCATACTTAGAACCAATAAACAGAAATCAAAACCCGCTCCCTCGTCTGCAGCAACAACCTTCAAATCATCCAGTTTTACCAAAGGTCACTAGAAGCTGCACTGCAAGATTGAAAAATCAAATTTTATGCTATATTCATCTTGAAATATTTCTCGACCAAAATGAGAGTACTCAATCATAGAGTAACAACTAATTGAGCTATGGAATAAATAGATAACCTAGAAACCTAACAACTACAGTAATCTGTTTGAGAAAACACAGCACTTCAAATAGGTGTGTTAATTAAGTACCAATATTTCAGCCCTGCTCCACAAAAAAGAAATTTTTACGTATTATCTCAACGAACAAAGTGCACAAAAATTTAGTACTCAAAATAATTTAATAACAAAAATAATTTTCTGATGTAGAATCTGCAGGTGCCTATTAAGTACCCTTACAGTCAAGTGCAATTTTGCAACCGTAACACAGTACACAATAAATAAACTCTAAAATGAAACTGACAGAGAAAGCTAGCTAAATACATCTGGGAATTAACAAATAAAACAAACCACTGGTAGCATTAAACGTAACAAACATAAAGCATACTATAAATTCCTAGCAAAGTTCGAGAATATTGTGCACAAGATGAAACACCTAAGCAATCTTTAAATAATATACCATTACACTTACAGCGGTGAGGCAGAAAGAACACAGTCGGGCAAAACGCAAAACATTTGAAGGCACAGTCAACTCACTATCAACAACCCAATGACAAAATTATAGTCGTACCAAATCCTGTAGCAACCGTAATTTTAACTGACTACCACGTTTTAGAAAAAACCTCATCGTTTTATTCAAAATACCCTCTATTACCTAAACTTATTCAACTAACTTTAGTAGATCAGAGACGCTTGAAAAGGACGGTCTCCGATAAAGAAAGAAAGTATTTGAAGAAGCACCATTACGAACCACTTCTTCTTGAACTTTTTTCGGATTTGACACCGCATTTACTGCCAAAGGATCATGTTCTGTTTTGGCATTAACAGAAGAACAATTCATTTTCTCACTCGAAGATGTTCCAACACTTAATTCCTCCTCAACCACCTCACCAGGAACTTGTCCTTCAGCAGCGTCATTTCTAACTGTTTCAAACATACTTCCATCGTCCAAGCCAGTAGTTGGAATCTTTTCTATTTTCAATTCTCTACTAAATTTAAAAAACTCATCGCGCTTTTCGTCAGTAATGCTGTCGACTGCACTAGCATCTACCGTTGATTGAGGGACGTTTCCAGAAAATATTACATCAGCAGAGCCAACGGGGTCAACTTCAAAATTCTTATTTGTTTCCTTTTCCTTAGTCGTACCTGTGACAAGATCTACACTTATATCACCATCATGTTCCATTTTATTCAAGCGGGCACTCTCCAATCCTTTAGCAGCTTCATAAACCTAAACAAAGTTCAAAAACAAATATCTTTGACCTTATTAGATCTATCAATGGACTATTCAATAATCTTCCTTTGAAGTTCTAAGAGTGGTACAAAAAAACGTCTACGTCATCCCTCGTTATATAGTTCAAAAAGACGTCTGAAATTTCAAGTCTCTAACAAAACGTTGAAAACACTCTCAAACAAACCTTCGTTAAAAAATTGGGACCTCCACTGTTGACCAACCAGTTGTATGCGTATTTTGGTATGTTACCTCCAGGGTCATCACGGTAGAGAAGTACATAATCAAAACCCTTTTCTTCAAAATTTCCATGAGCTTTAACCACCAGAACAGAATGATAGCTAGCAACTCGTACATAATCGTTGGACGACGGGTATAAATTGCCATCGAGGGAAGAGCTTACGATTGTCACGCGGTTATTTAAACTGTCAAAGTATCTAGAAACAGCCGGTGGAATTAACGCATACTTCAAAATTCCGTAGTTTTTACTTGGTAGAGCACTGCAACCAAAAACTTATTAAGGACTAACTTGCGACGAACGAAAACGTATTCCCGTGGATATAGTGGATAGGGATATCTGGCAATCCATCGAATAATTTGTGTGTCCGTGTCTTTATTTTCCTGTAAAACTTCGAGCCTTAAAACGTTAACATCCCACTTTCGACGGTACTCGAGGTCCATTTGAGCGTCTATGAAGTCCCGAGCCGAGATATCCCTTCAAATAGAACAATTACAGAAGAAAAGAGCTGAGTTTTAGATTGCAACATATTTCGCGTTGATTATGTGAAAAAGAAATAAAATAAATTAGTGACCTGTAGCTTCCTGAACAACAGTATTCACTGAGACCAATGTCTTCTCTTTCTCTTTTAACAACAAGAAGATCCTGACGTTCTACCAAAACCTAAATGAAAACAACGATGATGATAACTTAACAAATGACACCTACTGCAAAACAGGACTTTCACACAAAAATCTAAAAAAGCAAACCTCCCATTCTTTCCGTAAATCTTGTCTTTTAAGCGTAATATCCCTTTCTTTTTCCATCACATCGTCAGATATCGCCATGTCCTTCAAGGAAAAACCTGCTGAGAAGGCAACAAGTACTGACGGCTTCCATCTAAACCTATAAAAGCACCTACTAACCAATCTCAAACTCGACTAATATATAAAAATAACTGCTTACCAGTATCGCCACGAACCACATTTGCAGTACCAACAACGTTGTCGCTGAAACCGGAGAATGTAGAACAAGAATTCCCAAAACTTCTTACTACTACTAAACATTCTAAAGCTTGGAGGTATAAAGTCCCTAGAATTTCACCGCAAGAAGCAGCACCGGCAAAAAAATACGTCCAAACACAAGCCCCTTCAGGCTGAGTTTCTCAGCAGAAATGTTCCAGGCGTAACAAACTAACTACAGTTCACAACCGCATACTCAGTATAATCATGGCAGGTAGCAACTCAAAGAAGTGCCTAAAAAGACATTTTGTCGACATTAAAATAACTATTTGAGAAGTACCCGAGAGCCGAAATAAATAAATAAGAGCGTCATTTGCGGAATAGTAGAAGAAGTAACTGTAGGACGATAATTCTTTCACCTACACAGCTTTCTAAACCTTAAGCACCAGTATTTTTTATGGAATGACACTTATAAAGTTTCAGTATGGCAGAAAAATAAAAACAAAAAACGCCACAGCACAATAAAAAAGTTATTACGACAAGCAAATAACCCCGTCAAACGGCACAAATTGAAAGAACATAACCTAATAGTATCATTTGAGTTGATACATAAGAATTCACCAGACTAGCACTTTTTGAAAAACTAAGTGTGCCATGAATATTATAAGCAACATAACAGATACTCGAACTAGCAGTTTTACGTCACAGAAGTTACAACAGCGTCAACAGAAGATATCAAAAAAACCAACTATTAATACCCTAAGAAGATAAAAATCTCATAAAATTAACTTAGAAGTTTTATATAAATGTTGGCAAAGATAAGGGAAATTTAATCCTCCAACCAACTAGATGCCGCTTTTGGACTTGACTAACAAGATTAGGGAGAAAGCACTTAATGTCATGTGATCTTTAGTGGAAAGAAAACAGCATACTTAACTCATACAATTAACTAGCTTAAAACTTCTTCCACATCTGAAAACTTCAACAAAAATCCAAAAGTTTTTAAAATACTAATATCAAAATAAAAATTTCAAATTCATTAAAGGGAGAAAAGTAAAAGTCGCTGTATTGAATAACAGAAAAATGCAAGCAGAAAATTTCCAAAATAACAATAAGGACAAATACTATGGCGACAATTACGAATTGCTGCTAAGTTTGAAAATAAGAAAAAAAAGAGGTAAAGAAGCAAATGAGATTGAATCAAAATGGGTACCAAGCTATTATCGCAAAAAAAGCACTCCCAAAACCTATCAGGTACAATAAAGCAAAACAACATAAGTCAGGAAACAATAGCAGGAGAATCAGAATGACCGCACAATAATTTCGCTGACCCCTCCAATCATAGTGCTTGCCCACTTCCACATGCCTATTGCAGAATGTAAACTACTCCTATGATAGCTAATTAGATTTCGAAGCTGTCGCAGAGCATCAGAGTTTTGGTGTGGACCTAAAAATTACAATTTATAGCGCAAATACAAAAAGTTAAAAAACCAAACCTATTATTTTAAAAACTTATTTCAGGCAGAAACGGCACAACAAACAAACCGTGTGCGTAATGAGATGCTGCAGATATTTCCAAAAACGGAACTGCATCGGAGCTTAAATTAGCTGAATTGCCCTAAAATGATTCGTTTAATTAATCGCGAGAAAAATGATTGCTTAAAAAAACAGCTATTAAAGGTTCAAAAAATATCAGAGAGAATCTTTGTAGAAGCTGTGTACAAAAAGACATACACTTTCAAGAAGGATCCAAAAGCGCCGTTCAGATGGGGCGCTCCGGCCATAGCTTAGAAAGACAAAATAAGTTCGACGTTTTCCAAACGTTTCTATATCAAGGTTAGTGAACGACCACTGCTTCAGTGCAAAACCATTCAAAGGAGTTATATGTAAAGAAGTTTTATCACATCCTCCTTTCAGTGTAAGCTCATAGCGAACGCCTGTTTGACCAACAATTTGCTTATTCACTAAGATCAACTCTAATGGATTCTCTATATAAGGCATGTTTGGCAAAGGCACCCAACGCGATTCCCTAAAAATATATAAATTAAACAACTATAAAGTATAAAAGGAGATATAAAAATAGGCTTCTCAAATGCTAAAACTGACTCGGGAGGGAAAAGTTCATGAATTGCAGTGTAGTAAGGCAACCGGCAATACTCGTCTTGAATCCCGCTGCAGTCTGGCTTTGACTTTCCTACGAAAAGATATTTCAACTACTAGTCAAAAGAAAAATATTTCAGACAAACTTAAAAAATTCTGATTTCTAAATTTTATGCACAAATTGATTTACCACTGCCTGTGAGAAAAGCGTGTTCTGGGAAATCATTAATCCCCCGATAATCAAAAGCCTGAAGGAAAAGACCGTTATCGATCTCCGTTTTATTACTGTTGTAACTATATACAGTTCGTTTAGCGTCCTAAAATTGAAGGTTCAGCCAAACTGGCGACAAACAGCTAAGTATTTGAAAAGCTTTGAGAGAAAAAACTACCCAAATAAAAAAACGAATAAAAGTTACCAATGCAATCATACGACGCAACCTAGGAGCACCTTCAGAATAGTGGTACGGCCAGCCAATGCTAGTAGTCATTAAAATCGCAAAAAAGAAAATGAATAATGCGAACCCACATTTTAATAAATAGTCCAAACGTCTGCTCACGTACATTAAATTACTCTACAAATAGCAAAACGAGTGCGTTTTAAAGTTTACAGTGTTCTCCTCACATGTACTAAATAGCTAACAAACACTAGACAAACTTTTCAGCACTAAAAAAAGAAAAGTGACAAACAAATAAAGTTGCATCTAGAATACCAGTTACCATTTCAGTATCACTATCCAATAAATTTCCAAGAATTATTAAAAAATTAAATATAAAGACAACGTCATAAGATAACACTCCCTTTCTCTGAGTCGAGGGTCATTTCAATCGTAAAAAAACATTTTGACTTTAACGCTGAGAAGATGAATCTGGCATTAA